GAATTGCTAGATAATCTCTGGCAATTTTTGATTATTTATTTTATAAATATTGTATTCATTAGTAAGATATCCAATAAGAGTTTCCATATTATTATGCTTTAATAAATGACTTGATAGTTTAAATCTTGGGCCAATCATTGTTGAAATAATAAAGAGGTGTTTATTATAATTATAGTATTTATTAAGTTTTGTTAAGGCAGCTAAAGAAGCTATTTTAAAATAGCATTAGGATATAACTCTCCACATGCTCAAAAATACTGGAATATAAAGAAATAATTGTTGAAATTGTTGGAGTATTAGCACATGAGGCCATCTCTGTAGAAAAATTAAATGGTTCCAGAAATTCTCGGTATATTTCTATATTATTCCAGGCTAAGGCACTAATATAATTTTCTTGATTGGTATTTTGTAAATGATTGGTATATGTTGTCAAATAGGGTTTGAGCAATATTGCTCTTTCAAGCATTTGGTATGTTGAATTCCAACGTGTTGGTATATCCAAAATTTGAGGAAATTTTAAGTGTGGATTTTTTTCAAGATATATTTTTTCGAGTTTATTAAATTTAGATATAGAAAGTTTAAAAATTTTTAAAAAATTTCTTATTTTTTTTAAAGTTGTATTCAAGGGTTCCAATGCAGCCATGACAGCCAAATGTATAATATGGCAAAAGCATTTGCACACACACATTATCAAAATTATCTTTTTGTTTTAAAATTTTTAGAATTGCTAAATTATTAATTGCATTGTCTAATGTAATGCAAAAAAAATCAATTTCAAATTTTACTTTTAATACAGAATTAAAAATATTAATAGAAGTGCTGATTTAAAAGGAATAAACAAAAAATACAATCAGAAATTTTTAAACATAATTATACATGTTTTTTAGGTACATTTTTACTATAAGCTCTTTTTAGAGCCATCGATATTTTTAAATTTACATTTTATATTGTATTGTATTTTTTATAATTACAAATTGTATCAAAATCTAATAAATGATTATTTAATTTAAAATCATTATCAATATAATGAATTGTTATGCCCATAAAGGGTATTTTATTTGGAGAGGACCAAATGTTTATTGTTATGGAAAATTTAGATGTAATGTTAGAAAGTACAGATTTTAAATTGATAAAAGAACTATGATAATGTTTCATAATTTCTATTTTTAGTGTTTTTCTAGAAACTAATGTTAGTGAAGGGTTACAATATGCTATTAAATTTTTAAAAGTGATATCCTCAACTATTGAAAAGGCTAAATTATTTTGAATGAAAAAGTTTATAATTAAATTATTTAAATTAGCTTTATTATTTATATTATTAAGTAAAAATGATTTTATTGTCTTAATTTTTTTACTGCCAATATTTATTTGCTCACATTTCTTATATAATGTTGGGTGGATGGATTTAAGATGTGTCCATAATCCTGAGGTTCCAAAATTGGGAAGTGATATTTTTTTTTTACATTTATTACAAATTGCTTTTTTTTTATTATCACAAGTAGTATAAAATTCCCAGATTTTTGCTGAATTTCGTCTTTTATTAGATATTGATAATTCTTCTTGTTCCTTATCGCTATTATTATTAGTACCAACAGCATCTATATTTATTAACTCTATTTGGTCTTCATTTATTATAATATCCTAAATAAATAGATAAAATTGATAGATATCATGTAAAAAATTTACTTCCATAATAAAAATAAACTATAATTATAAATAACAGAAATATTGATATCACAGTAGTATTTGGAAGAAATAACAGATGTAATCAGTTTTTGCAATGAAAGTAAAAAAAATACCACGATATAATTATCCACGATAAACCCAAATAATTATGATATTTTTAATATTGGTATTGGTATTGGTTAAAATTGTATTTAAACAATATATCAAAACCAATATATTTAGGTAATTGGTATTGGTATTGGTTGTAAAAGCAATACCAATATTTAAATATATATTGGTTTATATTGGTATTAGTATTGTAAACCAATATTATATTGGTATTGGTCCCACCCCTAGATATGGGCCGAATCGGGCTAGGGCCTAAAAAAAATTTTCCTACGGGGTTGCAGGCTTAATCAAAAAATTAAGGCCCATGAAGGTATCTGCAATAAATAATAATATAATTATAAATTCCTTCGCTTTCTCTTCCCCCAATTTATCTAAATTATTAATTTAAAAATAATATTTTTTTGCAATAAAAATTATTTTTAAAATTTATGGGTGTCAAAAAATAACTGCCAATTATTTCGAGGGAGGGGGGGGGGGTACTTTTCAGGGGGGTATTTTGCTTCCATCCCTCAGAAAGTGTAGGGGCCACTGCATGTGTCCCATCTAGAATTTAAAATTTTTAAGGAAAATAATAATATAAGTAAGAACTAAAATAAATTTTGCTGAAGATAAAAAAAGCTTATAAATGAAAATCTTTACATTAGTGTTGTCAAATTAACTAGCTACACTTTTGCTAAAAAATAAATATAACTAGTTGCATACAAAATCGTAACTGTAGCTGGCTACATTTTTTAGAAAGTAACTGCCATAAGTAACTAGTTACTTAATTTATATATATATATTTCAATAAATATAATTAAATAATAAATTTAAATTTGTAAAATTTTTTTACATTCTTTTACTATATGATTTAAATATGAGCCAATAAATTTATATTAATTATATTCGATTTAACGTAATATAATCGATTAACCCTGAATCTACTATCCACTAAAAATAATTGTAACTAATGACTAGTTATATTTAAAAAAAGAAAACTATTAACTGTAACTTGTTATATTTTCCCAAATTTAACTTACTAACTTAACTAGTTGCATTACATTGCCAAAGTAACTTTTAACAACACTATCTATTTTATTTTGTACTTATCTTTAAAAATAAATTTCGTAAAATTCCTTACAAATCATGTTAAAATTTTATTTTACCATTAATTCATTTAATAATCGAAAAACTTGGCTTATATAAGGTAATTCTAATATTTAAAATTATGTCAAATAAAATAACTTTTTTTTTCTATGACTATATAACATTTTTTTATAAAATAATTCTCTATAAAATACATTCTTTATAAAATCATTCTCTGTAAAATCATTCTCTATAAAATTATTCTCTACAAACTCATTCTCTATAAAATTATTCCCTGTAAAATCATTCTCTATAAAATTATTCTCTATAAAATCATTCTCTATAAAATTATTCTTTGTAAAATCATTCTCTATAAAATCATTCTCTATAAAATCATTCTCTATAAAATCATTCTCTATAAAATCATTCTCTATAAAATCATTCTCTATAAAATCATTCTCTATAAAATCATTCTCTATAAAATCATTCTCTATAAAATCATTCTCTATAAAATCATTCTCTATAAAATCAATCTCTATAAAATCATTCTCTATAAAATCATCCTCTGTAAAATTATTCTCTATATACGACATTCTCTATAATTGTTTTCTCTATAAAAAATTCTCTGTAAAATACATTCTCTATAAAATAATTCTCTATAAGCGACACTCTTTATAATTGTTTTCTATGTAAAAGTTTCACTATAATTGTTTTTTCTGTAATAATTTCTCTGCAATGACGCGATACCCATCAGGTAATAAATAAATTTAAACGCAGCATTTTATTCATATAACCGTAATAGGGGCATTTTAAATGTAAACTTAAATTACAATAATAGATAAATGGGGTTTTAATTGGATTAGCTTAGAACAGGACCTAAATTTGCTAAATTGGTTTTGTAAGAAATTTTTTAAATTCAAACAAGAGAGAGCAGGGGAAAATTTTATAATAAATTTAATCGATTTGTATTTGGTATTTCTTTTTCTCATAATATTTTACATTTTAGTGTATTTATTAAACCTTTTTAACCTAATTCTTTATCCATTGCATTGATTCTAATATTTATATATTTTTCTTTTAATTTTAACTTATATTCGGCTTATGATGTGATTCTCTTTGTGCATTGATTCGAAATGTTTATTATTGGAAATATATTTTAAATAAATTTGTATGATGTGTAAGGTGATATGTTTTTATGAATAAAGACGCGTCTAGAGGCCTCACGTGAGGATTCTAAACTTCTCAGAATAAAATATCCACGAGAATCATTTTTATATTCAATATCTTTGATTTAAAGAAATGTATTCTAGCATGTGTTAGAGTCCTCAATGAATTATAAATTTTATACCATTTCGTCATAAACCTTTGAGTACCTTTTTAATTTTTATAAAATATCTAGGATATTGAAAGATATGCAGCAAGTAACAACATATAGCAACTTATTTAAAAACGTTCAAATTTTATTTTTCAATATAAGCCAACCCCAAATCAAATCTGTTATTTGGTGGGGTCATACAAATGCATTGCAAGGTAGGTAATTTTTAAATTTTTTACTCTAAATAAATTGATATATCAAATTGAGAACTTAGGACAAAGAAATAAAGAAAGAAATAGTTTGAGGCCCTCAGTTCTAACCTTTTATTTTCAGCTATCACTCCAATTTAAAATATAACAATCATATATATGTATATTTTATGTCAAAGTTTTAATAAAATATGAAAATGTTGGATTTATTTAGTTTTATATGCAACGATGCATGTTGCATGCATGAATCATAAATCTGTAAATAAATACACGGCAAAAATGGAGAAATTATTATGGTAGGTTCTTTACACATGCTGTAATACATTTCTGATAAAATCAAATTTTTTAAATTTAATTCGCCCTCGAAATTTATTTAATTGGGAGATTCATACAGATCCTCGTATATTCCGAATAAATTTACCACATATATGCCGAGTAGATAATAGGACTAAAATTATAAAAATATGGATTTTTTTTTGGCAATGAAAATATTAAAGCAAACAATTATTTTAGGAAAAATAAAAATTCTCAAACATTCTTAAAAATAGTTCTCAGATTCTGCTAAGAAAATTTAAACCCATAATTTTATATGCTAATATTCCATTTTATTTTGTTAGATCATAAATGTTTACCATTTCAACCATTCACTTGTCCTGATTCTGAAGTTTGCTTACCGTTACAATATTTATGCGATGATAATTCTGACTGCCCAGATGGTTATGACGAAGATTCAAAATTGTGTACAGCAGGTGTAAATTTAAAAATATTCGTGAATAATATTATTATTATCTCAAGTGCTACATAGCCTAATCCTTGATTAGTATAATATATCAATAAATCATCCTTAATGCTAATTGAGTTGTTATTCAGTTATAAATAAAATATAATTTTTTTTACTTATTATAAAAATATTTTTTAAGTGAAATTTTATATAGAAAACAATTTTAATAAGAAAATGTATTTTTAATAGGGATTGATTTTATCAATGATAAATTTATTAACTCGAATGGTGATTCATTTAATAAAATGCATTTAAAAGTGTACATACATAGAAGTCATAAATTCTTTTATGGACTGCGCATTAACTAAATAACCTCTACTTAGAATTATTAAAAAAAATTTAAACAATGTATTAATAAATGATAAATATCATTTAGTTTACGTGCAGACTATAAAATGGCGTCTACCGTTGACTCCTACTTCTCCAATGATCGGCCCAAATTTTTGTCTGAAAATTTTTTATTTACAACATGAACCTTAAATAGAATTTTGTCAATTTTATCAAACATCTATTTAATTATAATCGAACTAATACCACAAGGATTTTAAAATTATATATTTATTTGATATGAGATTTATTCAAAAATCTAGATATTTATACTAAACTAATTAAAAATACTACTTTGTTGCTAAAGAATAAAATTGAGAATAAAAAATGTCTAAATATGGCCAAAAATATTAATTACACAAGGTAAAAATATATAAATTATATGAAAAAAAGTATTGTATAAGAAAATCTAAGAAATAATGCCAAGATAAATAAAATGTAGCGCTTAGTAAAAATGATTAAAAAATATATGTTTAAAATTTCTATAAATAAAATTTTTGGTCTAATTCACATCGAGCCTTTGGCCATTTCTTCATACATTTTTTATAGTTGGAAATGAGAGCCCATAACTACATACAATATAGAAAACTTAAAACAGAGGTAATATTTTTGCTAGCTAAATCCATAAAAAATAAAAATGTTTAATTATTTTAATATGGCCAGCTGATTTTATATTATTAATGCACCTATGAAAGTTATTTATAAGTATTGATTATTTTATTCAAACGTTCTAGCTTGGGTTAGTAATCATTTAAAATTGCCCTAGGTTTTATAGTAATTTTCAATTTATTAGCTAGATTTTTGGAAGAAGCAAATTTGTGTTGAAATACTTGTGTCGTATTAAATTAAACATATTAAATTTTCTAAAATATATTTTGCCTCGTTTAATGCTTGAATTATGATCAGATGTGTTGTTTGAAGATAACTGTACACAAGCGATCCCAAATAAATAATCAGAGACCTTCAGGCCCGGCCCTAAGCCTGGTATCCGGGCCGGGCCAGGCCTGGCCATATTTAAAATTTTTAAAATATACCCGGGCTGGGCCTGAAAAATTTTTTTTTAAAAAATACCCGGACCGGGCCGTAAAATTTTTTTAAAAAATTTATACAACATGAATTATTATATTCGAATTAGATATGGTTATAATGATTATATATAGTTATGATTAATATTTGGTTGATATTACGCAAGTCTTAAAATTTTGTTCATGGAAGGGGCAAAGGTGACATTTAGTATAGAAATTTCGAGGCTTGGTCAATATTTTTCTGACGAAAATATTGAGTTAGCCGTTTTTAAAAATCGGCTCAAAACGAGCCGTTTAGCAACATTAGCTAATATGCTTGCTTATTAAATGATAATATCGCCGAATTTAAAAAAAATTCCTAGCCAGGTCTAAAAAAATTTTTTTTTAATATCCGGACCTGCAGGTCTCTAATATTACTTTTAAATTGTTAATTTGAGTTTGCAGATATGTTTTATAACCGTAATTGATTTACATTTTATAAAAAAAGATATATTTTTTATTATATATAAAGCTCATGAGAAAATTATTTATATATATAAGAGATGCTGGCTCGACCCTAAGCTCGGCCCGGCCGTATTTTAAAATTTTAAAATATACCCGGGCCGGGCCTGAATTTTTTTTTTAAATCACGGGCCGGGCCTGAAAAATTTTTTAAAAAATTTATACAACATGAATTATTATATTCGTCAATTAGATATAGTTATAATGATTATATATAGTTATGATTAATATAATGTTGGGTGAAAGCTAACAATAACTAACACTCATAGTATCTATTACATAATATAAATAGTTTTCCTGCCATGAAATAAATAAGGAAAGGATAATAGGTAATATATACATTATTATATAATATATGTTATATTTTTTATTAATTAAAATATCAGTTTTATTTTTTTTATAAATACAATACAATTAATATAGTATATTCTTAAAATATTATTTAGACAAATTTTTTATAGTATCAATTTGTAATATACTAAATATCTGTTTAGAATAAAAAAAATAAAATATATATGTAATAATATGCTTCCTTATTAAATGATAATACTCGCCGAAAAATATGATAATACCGAATAGGTTAATTTTTTGTATATACCAGGTCGAATATAATTTTAAAAAATTCCTAGCTAGGCCTAAAAATTTTTTTTATTTAAATCCGGGCCGTGCTCAAAAATTTTTTTTTAAATATCCGGGCCGGGCCTAGCCGAGCCGTGCAAATGGTACCTCTGCAGGTCTCTGTAAATAATCATTACGAAGAAACCTTTATAAAAAAAAATAAAATGTATATCATTATAAAATAACTTTTGACCAATTTAATAATTTAACCTATATATTATAAAAAATTTATACATTTACATCGTGTAAAAATTTGAATTAAGGGGTGTCTTGTCCTAGAATCACATCTCGTAGTTAGGCTATTGAGGTACATATTTATAAATGAATCATCAATCTAGTTATATATATCTTTGGATTTTCTAAAGAATGTTTTTCAAGTATGAAAAATTATTACTACGCATTTTTTATTTTCTCTAGGTTATTTTTATTTTACTTTCTTATAATATGTAATATCTTTATAACGGTAATAGGAAAAAAAAACCCGAAAAAAACTCCTGGAAAAAAAACCCCTGGAAAAAAAATCCCCTGGAAAAAAATTCCCCTGGAAAAGAAATTCCGAAAAACAAATCCCTTGAGGAAAAACTACAGGAAAAAAAACCCATGGACAACCCCTGGAAATAACCTTAAAAATTTTTTAATTAAAATAGTATTTTTTTTGTCAAATTTGACGCTTATAAATAATACTTTATGAAATTCTCACATATAATCATAGTTGCAACGGATGAATCCTTAAATTTGCAAATACGACAGCATGGTATATATATAAAAATTTTGTTATATCTTTCTGCAATTATATCTGATTAAATAAACACTATTTTTATCACCGCTATTCCTGATCTTTTATATACACTACCGGCCATAAATTACTGCCCACCCTGCATTTTTACATAAAAAAATTTATAACTTAAAACTTTTTAACTTATTTGGGTAATAGCGAATTGATTAATTAATTTAAGATGTCTAGACATGTTTAGAATTAAAACCTCGGAATTTCTATAAATCTTTCTTTGAAATTTTAGCCTTTGAAAATAACATGTCAAAAATGACTAATTTGGTAAAATAGGGTTCCTTAGTTTTTTTCAGCAAAAATTTTAAGTTGCCCATTGTTTTTTGGAAGAAAGTCATTAATCACATTCTAATCTGCTTATTTATACCTTTTTTTAATTATTTTAAAAAAAATTCCTAGATTTTTTTTTGTTTTAAATCATTGTTTAAAGAAACTTTCAGTCTTTATATATATTTTAAAGAACATTCGACCAAAATGATTAAAAGAAAAGAAATTTCTATTCCAACTAAATGCAAAATAATTAATTTACACATAAGTGGTAAAAGTAATCGCCGAATTGCCAGAGAATTAACCCTAGCTCGACGAACAGTCGATTGTTTACTTAAAAGATTACGCAACAATAATACAATATCGAATCTAAAGAGGCCTGGAAGACCCCGCAAAACGACTTTAAGCGATGATAGGTATATAGCAAGTATTATTAAACACAATTGACGCCTTGTCGCTTCAGAGATAGCTGCGGAGATTAATCTGACTCGGGAAAACCCGATAAGTGTCACAATGTGAAAAGGCGCCCTAGGAGCTTTGAACTTTATGGTAAGGTAGCGGTCAAAAAGACACTTGAGCAAAAAAATAAACTCAAGCGATTAGACTGGGCATGAAAACATCAATTTTGGACATCTGCAACTGGTACCACGTCTTATGGAGTGATGAGTCAAAATTCAAAATCTTCGGTTCTAAAAGAAGGCAATATATCCGCCGCTCAGCTGGAGGGCGAATGAGCAATCACTGCATAATTCCTATAGTCAAATTTGGGGGAGGGTCTGTTATGGTGTGGGGGTGCTTTGGCGCCGGGGCAACGGTCGACATTGTCAAAATAAAGGAATCCTTAACAAGGTGGGATACCGGCAAATCTTTGAGGACCATGTGATTTCAGCAGGAAAGTGTTTGATCGGGAATAACTTTTTATTTCAACAAGATAATGACCCAAAGCATACATCCAGGCTGCAAAGATTATTTACAAAATCTACAACAACATGGTATTCTCGAGTTGATGAATTGACCATCCCAGTCTCCCGATTTCAATCCAATCAAACTTTTATGAGATCACCTTGATGACAAGCGCGAAAAATCCCACTAACCTCTCATTCGCACCTTTGGGAAGTATTGCAGAGAGAATGGAACAATATCACTTCGGAATATTTAAAAAATCTCATCGAAAGATTACCAAAAATTTTTGCAGCAATTAGTAAGAATAAAGGGGGTCATATTGATGAGACCAAAATTTGATCTTAATTAATTGCTATGTCTTTTATTTTTTGTATTTTTATGCAATAATATGTAAACTCATAAATAAATTCGATAAACCTCATATTGTGTGTTATTTGTTTTATTTTAAGAAAAATGCTAATAAAATGCAGGGTGGGCAATCATTTATGGCCGGTAGTGTATATACATTTCGAAAAGTCTGTTATGGGCGCACTCTAAGCTTCTTTAGTGGCCTAATGGATGGCTTGGCATTTTTTCCTTTACGTGATATGGGCAATGCATCCTGAGTTCGGTTACTCCGAGCAATGGTAAGGGTATTCTTGATTATTTCGATAAAATTTATATCAATGGAGTATCAAGGGACACAAGAATTTTTAATCCCAGACACGACGAATTGAGCATCGATTTCCTCCAGAAACTTGGAACGTGAATCAGAGCACTATCCGACGAAGAACGCACAAATAATCAATGCCGTTTTTCTAATCTGGTTGGGAATAAACACTCATCAATCTGGGTATTGATTAAGAAAATAAAATGCGATGTGGCTACAGATGAAAATAAACTTGAAAGATGGCGTGTTAGTTGGACACCGAAAACAAAATCAGAGTTATAATACCCAGATTCGATTAAAGAAACTTTGCGAAAAATACCGTGATGGGGCGAAGCCTTACAGATTTTATAAGAGCGATTTTCTTCAATATTCGATGTCAACCCATATAATTCATATTCTAAATTATTAAATTTATATATACATAATCATGATTTGCCAATAAAATAAATATATCTTATTACTAAATTTTGTCAAATTTAGTCTATTTAATATCGTAACTAAGGATGGATATTGTATTTATTATTATAGGAAATAATTTTTAAGAAAATAAGAAATACATGGGTTATTTTACTGGGGTATTTTTTCCTAGTACCAGTTTGAACATCAGCATTTTATTTTGTTTTGGCATTTTTTATGTAGGTTATATGAGTAATCTTTAAAAATGAATTAGAGCCTAAAAAAATTTAGCTTATTAATAAATTATATTTTTATAATATTTTTTTCTATACTAATTTGTCTATACCTTATAAATATGAGTTTATCTATTATAATCTAAATAAAAATATACCTACATTATTAGGTCTAATTAAATTCTGTAAATATGAAAAAAAAATTCCGGGGGTTTTATTTAGAGAGTTTTTCCAGGGGGTTTTTCCGTGGATTTTGTTTCCATCTCCTTTAAAATCTGAATAATTGGAAACATTAATTCTAAAATCTACACATGTGTTTAGTGCTTTATTAGTGCCTATAAGTACTTTAACCAATATAGTAACCAATATAGTAACCAATATAAATTAGAAAATTATTATAAACAAAACTATGGCCAACCTTACGATTAAATAGAGACTGAAAGCTTTTATCCAAAAAATTTAATTTAGTGCTTATTTTTTAATCCGTTTAGAGAAATAAACTTATCGGTAAAATATTAAAAAAATTCTAATATTATCAGATTGACAGAATGGAAAATATAGAAAAACTAAATATCTGGTTTGCGCTAATAATTAGTGCCAGAATAATATACTTATTAATACTCCAACCAATTTTATGAACCCCAAAATAGAAATCGAGTTGTATACAAAATGAAAATTATTACGTTATGCTTTAAACATAAAATGAGCCAAGCTTTTATAAATACGAATAAACTTATACCAAACTATTAAAGAGGTGGTGCTTAATTAGTACAATATATTGTTTTATTCTGTTTGGTAGATAGTTTAAAGGAAAAAAATTAGAAAAAAATTGGCATCATGCTAAAACGGAGAATATAGAAGTTTTTATCTGGTTTGCATTAATATTTAGTTCTTTCATAGTGATTCTCAATTTAATTGACATCGTTACCATAACTTATGAAAAGCTATTAGATTGTCCTTTTGTCAAATATTCTTATGCTTAGATCAGATTTAAATGTTTCCTATTCCAAATTTATCTCAATGCAAAATATAATACATTTAAGAATAAATAATAATTCCTTATTGATCTCTAAACCAGTCCTTCTTAGAGCTTCTCAATATTTAGAGTACTTTTACCCTTATAATATAAAGAAACTAGGTAAATTATTTGCAAGGTATATGGAGGTGTGAGGGGAGATTTGGGCGGGGGGGGGAGGTGTTGTTCATTAAAATATTTTGTAATTGTTTTCCTTGTAGAAGTTTATCTATAAAGACTGGTTACCATATTTATCGTGATTAAATAAAGGATAATTACGCCCACATAGTAGTACTACTGGATGTACATGTTAAGTCAATCAGGAATATAGACTAATCCGGACCCCCCCCACGGTAATTTGATATCTCTCAATTTTAAACCATTGAGGGAAATTTTTAATTTTAAACAATTTGATTTATCGGAACATAAAATTTTATCCCATGAACTTTGAACTAATCTTAATTCATATTATAGATTTTCATATAAATTAATACAGAAAAATATGGAGAAAATTGCCTTAAATTAATAGGGTATGTACTTTGTGCATGCTGGGATTCACTTTTGTAAAAAAAGATGGTTCAAATTAAAAATCGCTCACTGTAATTGGTTAAAAATTTAAAGATTAGGAATAGCCACGGAGAGGTGGGAGATTCTGGATTGCTCTTTATTCCAAATAAACTTACAGTAGTAAAACAATTAATTAGAGTTCCTCATATTCATTAATGCTTTTTTTTTATAAATGGCTTCAATGTTTTAATAAGTGTATATATAAATCACAACGAATGGTTATTATTTTATTTAAGTTAAACTTAATACAATCATAATATGTTATTTAAGTCGGTTACAGAATATATTGGGAGGTCTATATTTTGCGAGGTTCGATCTATTTATGACTAATGTTAACCTTTTTCTTACTTCAGATTTTTTTAAAATTTTATGTAATGTACACATTTATTGAAATTTAGCTAAAAGGCCACCTGTTAATGATATAGCTAGCTTTCTAAAAAAGATGGTTCTTGAAAATGGGAATGATTTTCTAATTAAACTATTTGGACCAAAGGCTATTGAAACCTTAGAGCCTCTAGGAGGAGTAGAACAACTTGCGGTTGCCTTATCAGGTAACAAATAAAATATTAGTAGAATATATTTATTTATTATACTAATATAAAAATTATTTTGTATTAATTTTTTGGTACAGATCCTCTTCCGCAAAATTTTTTCCTTAAAAAGCTTTATTGCAAGTAAATCGTAAAAAAAGAATTTAATTTTCGTAAATAATTGCGAAAATATCATCGTTGAGGAATTACTAAAATATAATTTAAAAAATGCATCAAAACCATTATAGCGAAAAACTTTACCGGCAATTATCTAACCCTAGTCATTTTTTATGACTTAATTTAGTTAAAATTTAACTGATAACTAGCTACTGAGCTACTGTGTTTTAAATTAATTAATTTCTAATGATTAAAGTAACGTCGATACTAACAGTGCTATTTTTTTTAAAAAAAAGAACGCATTCGTTTAACGATAACGAATAAAGGGTTTCTTTTTTTGAGTAATGATAATACAAAACGTTTCTTATTACTTTAGTTTTTTTTAAAAAATATGGAAAAAACATATTTTATTATATTATAAAACTACTTTTATTATTATTTTAAATTTTTAGTCATGATTGTTAATCTAATTAATATGAAATCAATATAGGTATATTAATTTTTATTCTTATTCTCTAATATTATAATTTATTTTAGAAAGAATTTTATGTCAATTGTACATATTTCTTTAGTTGAAGATGGTTTAACCTGCCCTGGCTCCAATATGAAACATTTTTTACACCAATGAAAAATGGTACAAAGTCTACATTCTACACTTTGTACAATTGTATTCCAACTCAAATATTCACTCAATTATGAAATAAACATGGTAGCATCGAAACTCTGAAGCCATTTTTATGAAAAAAATGAAAAGATATCTGATCAAACTTGTTATAAAATCAAAATAAAAGTAGTTGTGAACAATATTTCAACTGTATACCTTTTTGTCTTGCAACTTTGCATTAATAAGTGTCTTACAAACTTGAAATTATTTAACGCAATTTTGTTTTAATATTATAATAGTTTATAGGAGAGCAAGATATTCCAAATGTTCTAAAATGAAAGAGCCATAGCAACAGGTTCCATAACATGAAATCATATATATACATATCATATTTTTTAATTAACACTAACCATACAATATATATATGAACGACGTATCATTATCTGAAAATCTCTGCAATTCGGATTTATCACAAGATTCATCAAATTGATTAATCTCCTTAATGAGATTATTAATTTCACGGAGTTATAATGTTCAATAGATTATATACTATCAGTAATAATTCACCCTCCATTTAAATTGGATTGACCCTGGATAAAATTAGAGGTCGACGAAGAAAGAAAGCTTGAAGTTTTTTCCAGTTTGAGAAAAAATCTTGACAAAGAAAAACAGACTTGATTCCTTTTAAAAACAACACAAATAACAGTTTATTTTATGCTAAATATAAAAATATATTTTGATAAGTATATGAATGAAAATTCATTTTAAGATAATCTATTAAGCTTTTTTTTTAAAAAGTGTATTCCTTAATTTTTAATAAATTCACCCAATTAAAATGTTTATTTATTAAATATAATACAACCCTCCTATCCTCTGCGCCAGTTGAACGTGTGTTTAGCACTGAAGCTGTGTTGAGCATAAAGAGCTCTTCTTTATCTAATCAGAACTTTGAAAATTATTTATATTATATTTATCATAAAAGAATCTTATCTTATAATATAATTAATTTTGTATAATTTATATTGTATATATATATATATAGATTTTTTTTTATATATAATATTTAATTTTTTAAATAACGAGTAACGCGTTACTTTTTTGAATAGCTAGTAACGCGCGTTTCTTTTTTACAAGGTAACGATAACGCATTCTCTTTTCAGACAGGAGTAACACGTTTCTTTTTTGAAATAAGGTTTGCAGCGTTACTAATTTCACGCTATCATGGGCAGTCATTTCTCAGTGGATAATGCGTCATAAAATTGCGTTGTAAAGTAAATGTCATTATACAACGGTAATTTCTTCTCAATGACTCATTAATATCTACAACTTTTATGAACTTTTCTAAAATTATTAAAATATAAAGTTTTTAAAATAATATTAATAATTATACTTTATAATCAATTAGTTATAGGATGCGGTCCCAATATAAAATACCGAGTGAGACCGCGACTTTAATTCAAAGATTTGATGGAACTTAGTACTAACAAATTTTTTCCAAGATATAAAATAAGGAATTTAAATAGTTATAAAAAAAAATCTCTTTTGAAATTAATTAATGTTATTAATATGAATAAGAATAATATTTAAAATTATAAAATAAATATATTTTATCGTTTCGGATTGACAGATCGATGCTGAAAAACGGGAGTTGATTGATTATCTTCATTACTTACTAGACAGCAATGTTTTAATGAGAGAGAATTTTTTGAAGGCAACTCGTAGATTTGCCTCTTCAAATAATTATACACCCTATCACCTTTGTAGCTTACCGACTATTCACCTCTGAAGGATATACAACCCCTCCTCTTTCATATAGACAGTGCCAAACCCCGGCAGTTCTACAATCCCCTTTTTAAAAAATCACACTATTTAGTTTAATGATCATTTTGACAAATTTATTACTACCATACAATATATGGTCACCATGTCTGGCATTATCCTGATTTATATTGGGTTTACACAGTATTATAACCTAATTATCTGTGGCTATACTCTATCTGGCCTTAAAATATCAATACTAACTATTATATACTAACTTCCATAATAACCACAGTCAGGCGCGTAGGCAGCGAGGGGGGGGGCAATGGGACAACCCCCCCCCCCCAAGCCAAATAATGCAGATGCCAGATATATTTTCAAAAATATTATTGTTTATATTAATTTATATTTGTTAATATTACACATTCATCTACAGTTATTTTATCAATTAATTTCGATTTCAAGTTTTCCTTAACGTAATATTTACCTATTATTTTCAAATTTCTAGTGGCGTAATATTTATCTACCATTTTCATATTTCTAGTCAAATATTTCTTAGGGAGAAAAAAATTGCAAGTTATACAACGAGATGGAATCTCCGCCATCAAGCAGTGATGAAGTTAGAAGAGCCGATTAACTATTACTGAAATATCACAACTGAAAGAAATATTTCCTCAGAAGCAAGAAATTTATTGGATTCAATACTTATTCCAAATTTTTTTTCTCATTAGAATGTATTATTTAATTATATAACTATTTTATTTAATACTTTTCAAAACCATGACATTGACTTGATTAAGAAGATGAGAATAGCGGAGAGCATTTTATTAGAACTCAAGGAAATTAGGGCTAATGTTGATGAAAAATTTCATATTTTATATGTTATTGCTGAGTCAAAAGCAAAGATATACGTGTTTAATATTTGTCTCCCTCGACTTCAGCAAGGCAAGTTCGTCGTCAAAACATTAATATAGGATCATTAGTAGAGTATTATAAAACAAATATCCCCTCTCTTAGATATATTTATAACCCAAATAAATGAATGGTTTTTAATTCATCATACAGCACTTACCAATCTGCTGATATTACTTTCACAAAAACCTTTCAAACCTATTTCAGATGGTGATAGAAAAAAATAATATTTGTTAGATTTTTATCATGAAGATGTAAAAGTATCTTATGATGCCATATTAGCTGAATAACTATGTTTAAAAGATTATCTATGATATACCAAAAAATGCTATGGATAGTTTGCATAATTTCAAACACATGGGCCGAGCTCGGGTCTTATATTTAAAAAAAATTCGGGCTAGGTCGGGCTTTAGAAATTTTTTAAAATATATTTAGACTTATTAATTTTATATTAAATTTTTTTATGTAAAATAAAAATATTTGATTTTATTTATAGAACTAGACGCCATATAACATATGTCTATTATTTTGAATTATTATAAAAATTAATTTCTATATTTAAATAAAATCGGGCCATGCCAGGCCGGTAAATTTTTTTAAAATAGTTTTACTGACCCGGCCCGAAACCGAAATACTTTTTAAAAAAATTTGCCGGCCCGACCCGGTGCGAATTTATTTAAATATAGAAATTTATTTTTATAAGTACTCAAAATAAAAGATATATGTTATATGGAGTCTAGTTTCTATAAATAAAATCAAATATTTTTATTTTACATAAAAAATTCAACATAAAATTGATAAATTTAGATATATTTAACAAAATTTTCATGCCCCGACCCGACCCTGCCTGAATTTTTTTAAAAAAATATTATACCCGACCCAGCCCGAACCCGATTTTTTTAAAATATAGGCCTGAACCCGGCTAGAAGCTTGTTTGAGCCGGGCTGGGTACGGGCCTGGCCTACTTTTGCAGCTCTCTAATATATATATCAGCAACTCTTCCCATAAGTAAACTAATAAGAGAACATTCTCTTTTTTTAGTCGAATAACATAGCCATGCAAAGGTACCATTTGCAGGGCACGGCCCAGATTTTTTTTTCATATTTTTTTCGGCCCGGCCCGGGTTATATTTTTAGACCCGGCCCGGCTTTTTTTAAAAAAAATTCAGGCTCGACCCAGATATATTTAAAAAAATTAAAGTACGGTCCAGCCCGGGGGACGGGCCTGCAGGTTTCTGAAAAACATACCTAAGAAGTATAACTTCTGAAAGTAGATTGAATAGTTTGGATCTTTTGAATATTCATAGGCATTTGACGCCAAGCAAGGATGAGATAATTGAAAATTAGCTCAATCCCAACAAAGATTGGATTTTACATTGTAAATATATAACATACAAAATACAATTATTCCTAATAACTTTTTTGTGTATTAATTTATATTTCCAACATTTAAATTTTTTATACTTTATATATAAATTGCTCAAAAAATTCAAATTTCTATTTTGGGTCATTTAAGTGATTCATATGGTGGTTATATTCACTTTATATTTTATAATTCACATTTATTTTATACATATGCCGCCAGTTATATCCGTTTTATATTTTTTAATTCACATTTATTTTATAGTTTT